CGATTGTTGTAAAATCGGTCCTCGAGAAGGTAAAGATCGCGCACGCGACGGCGACGTGCGTGAATATCTGTATCGAAGCGAGTGTGTTTATACCCGGTATTATGATGTCCGCGAGAAGAAAGAAAGGGCGGCGAAATCGCCGATTGTACGACGATGGGTCGCGGTCGAAATCCTATTTACAAAAGTTACACGGCGAACAGGGGGACCGAAATGTGTATCGAGGCATCGAGGGATCTCGTTCCCGATCGTCGACGAACGGAGAATCGTGTTCACGCGACTTAAACACGAACGGTCGTGCTTTCCGGCTACCGAACAGCTGCCATCGAAGAGACTTTTTCCTGTATAAGAATAAGATAAGTGAAACGAAATAAGCGGATCAAATTTCTTCGTATATATCTATATGTATATATATATTCTTTTTTTCACGCGATCAATCGAGCTTCGTCGGAGAAATACTAGTACTACACGTGTGTCTCACACGTGGAATAAATAATCGTGTGAAAAAAAAAAAGAAAGAAAAATTGATCTTAATAAACTAAAGTGAGATTCCTGGCGAGAGCGTAGAGAGGTACACGTGTACGAGATGAAGGCAAGGACACGTGAGCCTCGCTGTTGCTAACCTTTCACAGACCCTTTGCACTTTTCACACGTGTCGCGAGACGAACGTGCCACGAATAAAACCGAGGACGAGAAATGACACGACTTACGTTTTAACTTTAGAACACTTGTCGTTAACGTAAAGCAATCAGGCTTCGAAAATAGGTTACAGAACGATTTGACGTGTACCGTGATGTCCTTGTCACCGAAGTAAGTTGGATCGAATCTGAACCTCGATTAAATATTCTATTATCTCTGGAATAAACGACCAACAGTCGGCTATTCGAGTCCGCGGTATATCTCATACATTGCTGGCCAATCGATACAATTTTCATTCAAATTTTTTCACTCGCTAATTTCTCAAGTAAATTCGACGCAAATCGTGTGAAATTTCGATATACGATCGATCCAACTACCTCCAGAATACAGCGCGTCGAAGTATTACAGAAGAGAGTGTCCGAAAAAGTCTAGTCTGACACGATGAACTATCAGTGCAAAGGGCGGTGGTAGAACGGAAACGTATAGGTGACAGCTTATTTCCGCGGCTGAAGAAGGAACGACCGTCGAACAGGTGATCTGTCTTTAGACAGGCGTGTCCGTCTTCTCGTCCTTCTTCGGCTCCTTCACGTCCGTGCGCCCGTTCACGTATTCCGTGCTCGCGTGTATCGGATTCTCCTGGCCACCCTGCGGTATTTTCTCGTCGATGATACGCGGGTCCTCGTGATCCTCTTCGTCCTCGTCCCCGGGTGTGATGTGCGCCTCGCTTCCGGCGCCGACACCGCTCGCAGCTTCCTCGTCGCCCCGACGCCTCGCTGCAACAAGCAACGCCACGATCGGTCAAGGCAAAAGTGCGTGTGTGGATCTGTTCTTTTTTTTTTCAGTTTTTTTTTTTTTTTTTTTTTTTTTTTTTTTACATTTTCTGTTAGGGGGAAATATTTTTTTTCCGGAAAAAACAATTTTCTTTCTCTCTAATGTCTCTCTGTCGTCGCGGTCATTTTCGCGTCACTTTCTACACTCTAATTTTCGATCGATTCTCGTCGTGCCGAGCTTTCGTTCTAGCTCTCTCGGGGCATTGCAAACGCGCGAGCTAGATTTCACGTTATCCCTACTTTCTCGCTAATGGGATTCGATTTAAAGGTTCGATAATTTGGTGAAGCGTGTATCTCGAGAGGTTTGTCATACGTACCTCCGAGAAGTGGCAACATTTCTACGTATCTGTCGTGTTATCAGTGAAAGGATATCGAAGGTAATTTCAGCACGTGGATATTTTATTCAGGTGGAAAATCGAATTGTCCCCGTTACTCGCCGAGATGTTTCTGCCGCCTCGCTCGTGCGTTTGCTCTCGAGCGCGGGTTAATCGATCGTTAGAGCGGTTAATAATCATAAACATTCACAGGCAGGTCATCACACTAAATGTATATGTTCCAATCCAAGCAAAGAGGTAAATGTGAATAAAACGTGATCGTGGCAAGAAACTTTCAAACACGTAATCAGCTAATTAATTAAGGTAACACATTAAAAAAAAAACCAAAAAAAAGAAGAGACACGTGTTCTTTGAGAGAGGGGCGGAAGAAAAGAAAGAAAAGAAATTCGTGTTGAGTTGTGTTTGGAAGGGTGGATGTATTTCGAAAAAATTAGAGGTAGCTGTTACGAGCATGCTTGTACGAATAAATAATCTAGGGACAATGTTGCACGTTAGTTTTCCGGGTCTTGGATTAATTCGGCCAGGAAAAGTATAGTCGTGGCGAAAAATCGAGTAGAAATAAAAAACAAAAATAGAGAAAGATTGTAACATCGATGGAATAAAGGTCCTTGGTCTGATTTTAGCTGGAACAAATGTCACCACACTTGCCTTCGCCGATTGTTTTGTCGTTGCTTGTCGCAAAGGAAACTCCGTTCTTTCTCATTCGGCCCTGTGGGGCATGAATTTAGTGGAATCTCGTCGGGGATTTCTTGAACAACATGGCGCAACAGACAATTGTGCTCTGACTCAGTGTTTTCCAAACAGCTTCCGCGTTCGCAAAGTTCGCGTTCAATCGCGACTGAGCGATTTTGTTCTACTTCAATTCACCAGGTTCAATAAGAATGTATATTTTTCAGTTTTTTTCCACGTGCTTGTTTCATTCAGCTGGGTCGAATATTGTTTCTTTGGTTTTGATACCAACGTTGAAATAATTCTGTGACTTTTGTTCGAAATGGTCTTTGAAAAACACTGCGCGATTAATAGTGAACAGAGCGTAAATTAGGCGTCGTAATTAGTACATGCGATTTAACTCGTAAGCACAACGTGCATGCACGAATGATCGAAGTATGTACGTTGATAATTGAAGGTGGCTAATTCGACAATGATACTTTAAATTTTCGATCATTTCTTAAAGCATTTTTATCGCTTTAAATAACGCTTTTTCATTCAATGTTTAATCGAGATATGCAGTGAAGTCTGCGTTGATTTTTCGTTCGGAATACAGACAGAAATATTGTAGGATAAAATAAACAAAATGTATTTTCTATGTATGGTAAATAAATCTCTGAAAATGGTATTTTGAAATTATCGAAGGGTGTCTAATTGTAGCAGAATCTGCTGCAGATAGAATTTATTTGATCGAATGCTGTTGTTGGTACGCGATCGATTTACTAGTACCGGCGAATTTTAGAAAATGGTATTTTTGTCAGAAATACATTTGCCGAACCGCAAACCGATAAATTGATCGTTCCGAACAATGAAATTTTAATTTGTCCATTCGTGATACGAGCCTCGATTATACCTTCGATTCCTGGCATAAATGATCGAAGTTCAGCCGTGTTTATTCTCTTCTATATACTATCGGTGAGATTTTTTGCCCGTGACACGCTGGTTCGAACGGAATTAAAAATGAACGGGAGACTGATAGAATCGTGAAAATCGATGACCGCCACAATTTATTTCCGCCTCGAAAGAACTTTATGCATTGAAAGAGATGTTGCTTTTGTCCACGGTAGTTCGAGTAACTTTCATGTTGCTAATTTATTGCTCGATTTAAGGATTCTGAATTTAGAGATTTAAATGGGATATTTCCTTTAGTGGTAGTAGCAGCAGAAGTGAACATAAAATCTTGAAGGTTCAAATCTCTTTCCATTTTAGTTTATAAATTTTCGAATTTTCAAACTTTCAACTTTTCAAATTCCCAGAGTTTCTCATTTTCAAAGTTTCAAATTCTCGAACTTTCGAATTTTCATACTTTCGAATTTTCAATCTTTCGAACTTTCAAATTTTCGTATATTCCCAATACATAAATCTCCTTAAATCTCGCGCATGTCACGTTGATACTACGTTCAAATCGAAGGTAGGCTACTTAACAATTAAAAAGGAAACAAGACAAGAAATTCTAAAATTACGGTATCATTCGTTTCTACGGTTCAAGCGACACATCGGAATCTGGTGCAGCGATCAAGTGTTTTTCTCGTCGATTAGTCGAGATCAGGGACGACAACAACAACGTGATTAGAGAGAGAGAGTGTGTCAAGTGGAGGGAGAGTCTGATTAAAAATGGTCTGGCGCAAAAAATGGAGAAAAATGACGAGCAGACGAGCTGATGATGAACGAGGAACGAGCAATACTTTTGCAGAGGGGTTTGTTTTGCTGCCTGAGGTGACTTACCCCTGGACAGTGTCATGCCTAGAGTACGGAATCGCAAGGTAATTGTTGCTGTTTCTCCTTATTCTTTACTTGGCCCGACTTGCATGCTGTCCTATCGGTAGCGGCACAACACACAAGACATTTGTATACATACAAATATAGAGATATAAAAATAAGAGACATTTAATTATTTATAGTGGTGTTGTACATTTTCGAGAGATCGCACAACCTATTGTCTAATTTAAATCTCAATTCCATCAAGGAATATTTTCTTTTCATGTCTTGTAAATTAAGTATTTTTTTTTCTTTTCTCCAATTCTACATACTTTCTTACTCAATTCAACCCTATATACAATCTTAATCAAATGAAACATAGTGACAAAAGAAGTTACACAGAGCAGAGCTTAAAAAAATTGACTCGGTAAATAATTAACACACTGAGACAGTAGCTATAGCTAAAATGATTAAATTAACATCCTATCATTTGATACAAAAACATTCCGATCGCGCGTTGTGTTAATCTACATTTTTCTCTAAGTGGCTAGTTTTCTCTGTAAGTTTAAAAACCAAAGAAAAAAAAAACGAGAAAAACAGAGATTCAACTTGCTACTTTTATCAATGAAGTCTACGCATCGCTCGATTTTTCTTCTGATTTATCGTTTATCGTATTACCGACAAAAGTACACGAAAAATCGCCAAAAGGGATGGGGAGACGCGTGGTACGGAAACAATATTTTACGTGAATGGTTGGAAAAACAAAACAAAAACAAAAGAGATGGATACTCACCTGCGAAGCACCAGCGTCCGGTCGCACGGGCAAAAATTAGTATGAAAACGAGGAGAATTAGCACCAGGCCTCCGACGACGATTCCAATGATAGAACCAGCATCTAAATCGACGCCTGAAATTTTGTAAAAATATACGATCAAGCTTTATATACTATTTTCCTCGATCGATAAAACAGATACACTAATCTTAACTAGAAATCACTTTATTAACTATAGTTTCATATAAAAAAAAAAAAAAATTCCGCGCGTAACTTTGTCTATTCGTAAATTTTCTCCTGAATGTGATATATGTAAAATAAATTTACGTATGTATATAAAAATAAATCGATGAAAAATTGAATTAGAAATCATGCGCCAGTTTTACAAATTCATATATAAAATGCATTAACGTTTCTACAGTTTCGAGAACTAAGAGAAGCCAGCCTCAACGAAGCTTTAACATTTCCAAGACACGATCATGATGAATTTCGAATGTTTTCGTGAAGCAAAGTGTCGCTGTGTCTTGTACGTTTATGCTTGAAAACGTGTTTGATATTCGTGTACAGAAGCTGTTCGAGAAATTATCGGTACAACCGGAAATAAGGTGACACTTTTACCCAAAGAATCATATACTTTTCGATTGTATCGCGATTTCAGAAACACTTTGTGCATACGATCGATGTACGAAGCGATGTAACGATAAAAAAACGTACGTCTAACAATAATGTGTAACAAGCACTCGAAGCTTTTCACATTTAGAAAAATGAGCTTACACAGTTAATAGATCTGATGCAAAAATTGTGCAAAGAAATCGGTGGCACGAAATCTGTGTTCAATATCGAGAAGAGAGAGAAAAACGAAAAAAAAAAAAAGGAAAAAGCGTCGATTGATACAGTGAAAGGCGATCGCGCAGAAATTTAATCACGTTTATTTGAAAAAAATACAGATCTGCCATTCATGTTTGCAATGATATCAATAACAAACGTAACACGTTACATATACGCGTGTCGCATTGGCCGCGCGGAGTTCCATTCACGTTCATTCCATCTCTCCCTGAAAATCCCTCTATCAAGCGCGACTTTCAAGCAAATTGATGAGTGTTTGAAAAAGCGGAACGAAAAATGTGTCCGGCTAGCTGCACAGTTTACACGATCTTCCCTCGAACGCTTTAAACAAACATAGAAGCTAGTACATCTCGAACAAATATAATAGAGCTTTTTCGGTGATTCAAAAAGTCCAAGGATATCGCTTCGATGTTTTTAAACAAATCCAAATCGTCCGGATAGTATCAATATCGTTTTTCTGTATTTCTCATTTTTTCTACCTTTTCTACCTGTGAAACAGATCGCTGCACACACAGACGACAGGTATCGCGGAAGGACAAATAGAAATGACAGTGTAACGGGGAAAAAGTTTGGCGAACAGTTTTATTCTCGATGGAACTCCCCGCGTCTCGACAACTACACGTCGACTACTTACGTATAATAATTTGAAAAAATGACATTACCTAGTGCGTGCATGTGTTCGAAGAGCTTACCATAGATGTGACCGAACGACCCTGCGTGAAAGCATGCGGTGAAGGATCGATATGGTTAGAGACATATAGGCGCATACATACATACGTGTACACGCGATTGTAGAAAAAATATAGTCTAATTCGTGTATTCGGCGTAATTGGTATAGAGTACCGTGAAAGTGACAACGAACGTGACGTGAACCGATAGACAGCGGAGTGAGTATGCTCGATCGGATGATATACGTATATGCTGTGTGACGAACACGAAACGTGAGAACTATAACAGCGTGATCGACAGCTACCAACCAATTTAAAATCATTTTTATTGTCAACTTTTTCTCTCATACTTTCAACCCTTAATTACGGTACATACATACTTCTTTCAAGTTTCTGTTTCTTTTCTTTTTTTCCAAATTTCTTATTTTGCTCCTGTTCCTCGAAGAACACAATAGCCTTTCAGATTTTAAATTTTCATTGCGATCAAAACAATTTGCCGTGTCTCGCACTCTACTCTAGTGCACAGTGTGTGTTTATCAAGTGAAATAGGATAATCGAGTCGTGAGCGTCTCAACAGGTTTACCTGCGGGTTCTGTGGATGTCGACAAAATGATACGGTATTCGTTAGCTCCCTCGTCGTTACGGGCTTCCAGGATGTACACCTTCTCCGTGTCGGATTTCTGAACGCTGTCGATCGTCAGGATCACACTCCACGCTCCTCTTCCCTGTAATAACAGATACCTCTGTGTCACTACACCTTTGCGTTATTCTAATCATTAGGGTAATTAATTAGTAAAGAAATACAAATAACCATCAGGACGTAAAATGAACAAATTTTCGTCACACTTCTTAACCCTTTCGTTACGGCAGTGTTAATCATTTTTATTGGTAGTTATTCAAGTTATTCCAAGGTAGTATGTAACTTAAATCAAATTTAAAAATTGTGTAATAACACAGTCTCATCGTTCAAGTCACCTTTAAGATACAGCAAACGCTCGATGTTGGCTGATTATAGTCACCTTTGCTAACGAAAGGGTTAAAAAACGATCGCAACAGTCACTTTCAATCACGGTGAAAGAAATGTTTTTTTTTTTTTTTAAACGAATCCTTCCTTTCAAATTTTCCACAGAATTTTTCCATAAATTTCTCCGCGAAAACAGCAGCGCGGGATTTTTCGACGCGGGGCAGCACAGCCGGGAATGGAAATTGTCGACGCGTTCTCGATCGGGCTGACCGGTACACGTTTTTTCCACAAAGAAAAGGCAACTCTCGCGTAATTGTGTTTCCAGTGAAAACTGATTCGCATTGGTGGAAGGCTATTCGACTAGTAGTTGTCAACCGACAATCCTGACTTTTTGAGAGGCATTCACGCAACGGCCAACAAGCGGTTTCGAATGGGCCCTTTATTGCTTTCTTCTGCAATGACGCCGGGGGTTTAGAGACTGGAAACCTCTCGCTTGAATCGAACTTCTCCTCTGTATACTCTCTGTTCCGAAATGTTCCCCGACATCGCGCGACACGTGGCTCTTTGCATTTAAACGACGGTTTAATTTCGATCCCCGGTCGTTTCGCGAGCATCGTTGGTTCTACCGGTGCTCGAAACAAATTTCACGAATTGATATTCGGCTGTACTTCGAGCGCCGTTCTAAAGTACGCGGGTGTGCGTATGAATTTTAATTTCCTCGTAATATCGCCGATTCCTCGTTGGATATTTAATTTCGGCATTTTTGCAAATACCGTTATTATGGTAATTCTCGTCGGTGTAGGTTCGAGAGCTTCAGATGGTTTCCGGAATAAAATGAAATCCCGTCAGATGTCGACCATCGAAAAGAACTTTACGGGGTAGGTTGGTGAAAAGTACCAAATGTACGATCTGTGTCTTCCATTCGACAATTTCGAAAATGTTTCACGTGTCTTTTCCCTTCGTACTTCCTTTTTTTTTTTTTTTCATTTTTCGTACTCCCGTGATTTAGGAAATATTTTACGTGTTCTAGGTTTGATTCATTAGTTTCCTCCTTAAAGCTTGATGGAGAAAATTCCTTTCACTTTCATGCAAAAAATAAATAAATACTCGATAATTTTGGAAACGTGGAAAATGTTTTAATACTTCTCCGTCACACTCAGAATTTTTCTGAAACAATTCTTTATAGTATGATTAACGTCGTCACACCTTCTCGTTCTTCCTCCCGTCACTAATTTTTCTGTCATCTTTCCATTCAATTCTCCCAAGAAGAAAAACACAGAAACAGTTTATCCTCTTAACGGCTCGATCGTTCTTTCCCCCGTTTTTCCTCCAAACGAGGCAACACTCTCGCCTAACCGATAGTCGAATCATTTCGAGCGATTTCACCGGCCTATCGATAGGCGTCCGAATCTTTCGGAATTTCATTAAATCTCTTTGATTAGCAGCGAGCAACTTGGAGAGTCACGCAGATGCGTAAAAAAAGAAGAAAGAAAAAAGAAGAAAAACGGTAAGTGCACTGGTGAAAATCGATGCTCAGGAATGTGGAACCTTTGTTCCATTACCTTCTCTCCTCTCGTTCTCCTCGATTCCTCGTCTACCGTTCTGTTTTCCCCCAGTTTGCTCTTTCCGCTCTCGTTCTTTCGCGAGAAAACTCGTTCGGCCGCACCCCGCTCGAACTCTCCTCCGCGGCGTTTCATTATTTATTCCATCGTTTTCTGTCTCTCCCTCCCTCCCCCACCCTTCTCTGTTGGCTGGAAATTCAACTCTGGTGATTTTTATCCAATTAATTTTTACACGCTCCTCTTCATTATTTCCTTTCGTTGCTCGACGAGAACTCGACGTTAATTATTATTCGAGCATCTCGACAACCGAAAACGTTCAATATTTATGAGAGAGGGTATTAGTATACTCATGGCGTGTATATACTCTCTTGTCCGGCTGATGTCGCGCGTCGACTGAGAGAGGGCAATCGTTTTATCGATAAGATAGCGGTAGTGGACTTTCTTTTCCTAGCAGGGAGAATGTATATATTATTTATCGCGATAATACGGATCCGTTAGCGTGGAGAAAAGTTTCGAGGAACGTTTCATACATTTTTCAAGGTACAACTTCTTCGAGCTACTACTGTTATCTTATACGAAATTACACCTCTTGACTTTGTAACAACGTTCGGTTACTTTTAGACGTCGTTTTTTCGTGTAATTACTGAGAAATGAACGGCGGTAAAAATTGATACCGTTGATTTTAGTTGAGAATGTTAGCGTAAGAGCTCGTTAATTTACCAGATCGACAGCGGTCGAGGTTTCAAGTCGGTTACTCTCGTCGGGACGACCCTCGTTGATCTTTTCATCGTTCACCCGCCATAAGAAACGCGGCCTAGGGTTCGCGTAAACGGTCACGTTCACGATACCCTGGCGTCCAATTACGTATCCGAAACGCTCGATGGTTGGCTGCTGTTGAGGCGGATCTGGAAAAATATTCTACCCTCAGTTTGTCGAATTTTTACGGAAAATTTGAATATTAAGTGTAGGTTGACAGCTCCAAGCGGTAGAAATTTCAAACTGAAGACAGTGAAAACATTTGAAATTGCTGTGGTTATCTACAGTTTCTAATTTATTTTAAGTAAATTACTATCTTGTAAGATAAGTAATTTTTTAGAATTTTCTTCTCAGAGATTTTGAAAAAATCTTTACACTTTTATGAAGTGTGTAGAAAATTTCAACTTACTTATCTTAATTAAAGAAAAATTCTGAATTTTTCTGTTCGAAATTTCTCTAAATTATTTCACTTGAAAAATCGAGTACTCACAGTAGACTTGCAGTTGCATAGTGGTTTCCTTAGGCTTGTCGAGGGCGATGTGAGTGGCAACGCATCGAAGAACCTTGCCATTGTCGGTCCAGTCCAAGCTGCGCGATGCATTTTGCACAGCCACTGATTTATCGTCCACGTTCGAGTCGTAAATCGTTGGTCTCTCCTCGTTACCAATAGGTTCGTCGTCTAATTGTTGCAAGGGTAGAAGAATCCATGTATAATCACGGTCACCGAGTTGTCGAGAAAAAAGGTTAATTAAGAAAAATCATTATTCCGCAATTAATTACCAAGGAACAAAGAAACGTTCGCTGCTGGTCGTCCGGCTGGTGCGCTGCAACTCACTTCCAGTTTTTCTCCTTGTCTGTATATGCTTCTGCCGTAGGAGCCATGGCTGGTCTGAAGCTCGGGATTATTCGGTGGTTCTGGGGGAAAAATCCAGTTACGAGCATTAATTTTATCTTATCGTTCAAGAACGTTTAATTTCACGTCGAATTTTCTACCGGAGAGAGAGAGAGAGAGCTTTTAAAATTGGCCCCGAAACGTCACTGGATCATTAACATTATTTCGTTTGACGAGTGAAACGTGCTTATTTAAATTCAGGTTTGAAACATCTTCGGTTCTCGATCATGGCCCCCGGTTTCTCGTCATTTATCTTTATCGACTTTATCTGAAAACAGTAATTTCCTTTTCGCTCCCTCTCTCCCTCTTTTATTTCTCTTTCCGTAAGCAATTCTCTTAACGAAGATTAATTAGCTCTCGAATTCTCTCCTACACGTAGATTCTACTCGGTAATATTTTTTCCCGCGTGTACAGGAGAGAATACTTTTCCCCCGGGGCAACTAATGTCACGAAGTTCCACCGATTTTCTCATTAATTTCGGGGACCACGCGTAAAAACGTCGACAATTAATTACAGGTGTACAGGTGTAATTATAAACTAACATTTTATACTTGCACCGATGTGTACCGTTGACAGAATCTTTTTGTTATTCTCTATGGTGGAACTGATTCTTGTAGGAACTTCTCCTTTTATGGTCAAGACACAACGAAAACAGATTCCATTTGTAATAAAGTTCATTAGGTCATTGTCGAATACAAAATCTTTCTCCTTCGATGAAGTGTTAACTCGAAATTAGTGGGCAATTTCTCAGTGAGAAATTTTAACTGATAAAATTTTGAACCAATTTCTCAAAATTTGACAAAAGGCGGGAAAATTGCTTGTGAAAAATGAAGAACAGGTAACACATACTGGCGACGATGATCTTCAAAGATGCCTGTGCCTCTGGTCGTACATCAATGGCCGTCAGAGTACACTTGAAAATTCCGTCATGGCTCTCCTTGATTTTGGCGATGTGAACTCCGCACTGACCCGTTTCTTTGCCCTCCCCATAATACTCGACACCATCATCGGCTTGTTGTTCCTTAGACAACACCCTGCCACCTTGCTCACCGGGTATCTCGACGCGGCATACTAGCAGCGGTTTACCGACTCTGCACAAAATGTTCAGACTCTCGCCTAGCCGTACGGCGGTCTGTCGTTTTGGCTCGATGTCCACTACCAGGTTCGCCTTCACTGCTGAAA